TCTACTGTCTCAAACATGAATATCTGTTTCTGGGGATGCCTGGGTGGCTCAGTGGTTGAGCATCTGCCTTTGGCTCAGGTCATGATCCCAGGATCCTGGGATCAAGTTCCACATCGGGCTCCCAGTGGGGGGACCCTGCTTCTCCCTCTGCAGTGTCTCTGCCTCTCTCTGTGTGTCTCTCATGAATAAATAAATAAAATCTTTTAAAAAAATACCTGTTTCTGAATTCTGAGGAAAGAGGCCACAGGACACTGAAGGCAATGACATGTGACCTACTGAACGTGAACTTAGGGAAGCTAACAAAGCATCCACAGGAAAAATGGGAAAAGAGTCACAAATACTCGAAACTATAAATAGTGAAATGTTGGATACCTTCTACAGCACAACCAACAAGATTATTCTGAACATTAATGATACCATATAAGATGTGGCTCAAGTCACCACCTTTATTCTGTCCCTGTTAGGGCAATAAGTGCCTGGGACATATTCACTGCCAAAGTAGTCACTTCCAGATTCAGTCTTTAAAAAAAAAAAAAAAAAAAAGCAGTCTGTAGAGCTCACTGAACCTAGATCAATGACCCTGAAGCCTTGAAGACCCTGAAGGTACAGAATTCAGTCTCCTTTAGGCACAACTTTGGTGTGCCTTTATCAGTCACCTGGAGCATGGTTTAAAATTTAGTCTTGGGGGATCCCTGGGTGGTGCAGCGGTTTAGCGCCTGCCTTTGGCCCAGGGCGCGATCCTGGAGACCTGGGATCGAGTCCCACGTCGGGCTCCCGGTGCATGGAGCCTGCTTCTCCCTCTGCCTATGTCTCTGCCTCTCTCTCTCTCTCTGTGTGTGACTATCATAAATACATAAAAAATTTTAAAAAAAAAAAGCTTTAAAAAAAATTTAGTCTTGGCCCCTCCCCAGAGCTACAAGCTAGACCTTCTGAGGAAAAGGCCCTGGATTCTGCATTTCTGTATCTTCCTTCAGGTATTTCTTATGTTCACCGAGGTTCGATAACCACTAGCTTAAAGGAAGATCTGTTTAATAAGCCTCAAATAAAGCCTATACAGAAAGTGACTTCTCACTGTTCTATTTATAGGAATGTTCGCTGTTTCTCCATTTCCCACCGCAGCCCAACAAATCTCCAGGCTTCAGAGATATTTCCAGCTCTCTGACTTCCTAAATCACTCTAGTCTGGAATTTTCAATTTTATGAGGTGCTCTGAGCTTACAGCACATACTTCTAGGTCTCCGGATCCTGTCCCGAAGTGATATTTGAGGAGCAAGATTATGTCATTCCATCCCCTAACACTGCATTTTTGGCAACAGTAGCCCACTTGCTGACAAACATTTTTCTCTCATTTGGGAGAGAACTGTACAAAAAGTCTAAGCAGAAAATATAAGGAAAGCGGAGGAGAGTCATCACATTTACCTAATTCCTTAAAATACACATGGGCCACTCAACATGCTGCAAGAGGAGGAAACTATTCTACCTGTGTCTTACGACACGACTGCATTCTGAAGTCTCGCTTTAAATGGCAGATGTAAGTAAAACTCGAACAGGTTTGCATACTGGAAAGTACCTCTCACAGGCTGGGTACAAAATCTAAATATTTTGTTTTGATGGAACCAAATATAACACCACAAACATCAAATACAAAACAAATTATGTAATTGAACAATTAAACAAAGAACATCCATTCATTTATTCTGAGCATTTTATTGACCAGCCATCAGGTCCCAGGTACCGTGCTAAATATGGGATGAACATAAGAGTATCAAGGTAAGGGATGCCTGGGCGGCTCAGCAGTTGAGCATCTGCCTTCAGGCCAGGGGATAATCCTGGAGTCCAGGGATTGAGTTCCATATCGGGCTCCCTGCATGAAGCCTGCTTCTCCCTCTGTCTCTCTCTGTGTCTCTCATGAATAAGTAAATAAAATCTTAGGAAAAAAAAAAGTATCAAGGTAAGAGTTAGAATTCAAAAAGAGGAACTTTAACTTTTGAGCTAAATCTCTAGCTCATGCATCAAATAAGGGCCTGCAGAGAAACTTCATCACCAGATAGCCCTAGCAAATATTCTCCCTGCGAGGTCAGTTAATTTTTTTTCTTCCTACATAGGTGTGAAATTCCAAGAGATCATTCTATCTCCTTGCTAACTCACAGCAAATGACATATATTCAGAGACAATGCATTTATTTTACTATCATATTCGATGAAATATGTATTTTTTTCAATTTTTACCTTCAGCTCCATTTGACAGAGGGAACAAGACAAAATAAAGGACAACGACGAGAGCCATGATGATAGGAGAGGGGTAACAGGATACAGTGCTCTCCCCACCCATCCCCAAGTATTTCAAGGTAGATAAATCAAATACTAAGACGAATATATAGTCACTTATCACCTCTGCCTATAAACTAATTACCCGATGGCATTTCCCATTGTCAAAATTCATCTTCAGAAAGAAGGCTTAACAATTGAACCAGTAGCCAAACTGGAATAGAGTGCTGTCCACAAAACACAAATGCCAGTAGCTGGGTAACTGTTGCACCTCTCAGTTGACTAAACCCCTGAACACATGTACAAACTGGTTTGAATGCAATGGATGGGGAATGCTTGAAATTCTCGGGCAAATAAAATAAGCAGTTTCTCTGTCACCTCTTTTATTTTCTTTCTAATCTAAAAGTGATTTATTGTGAAATATCCAAATTCCACCAAATATATATGTGCTTGTATTTTTAGAGAATTTACAAGATTAGTTTTCATCTTGCCACACAGTATTCAGCAGTTTGCTGGAAATATTTGAATTTGCAATGATTACATATGCTTGTGCACACACAGGAGTCCTAGCCAGGGAGCCAAAATGGGACTTCAATTTTAATTTTTTTAATGGATTGGTTGGGCAATGCCAACAAAATAAACTCCTCCTTATCACCTTTGTTTTTTGTTTTGTTTCTGACTACATGACATCAGTTTACCCATAAACTCTTTCCATAAGGTTACTAGCAAGTAAATTATTGTAAAAAAAAAAAAAAACCAAAAAAAAAAGGAAAAAAGAACAATTTTAGATCATTTAGAGACATTCAACTTTGGTTTAAATTAATGGATCTTGGTCTGAAACTAACATTTGATTGAGTTGAAAAGTTTCACAAAGAAGAGTGCTCCTCTTTCACAACAAATCTAGAAGGTAGTTTTTATTCATATTCCACAAAATGTGAAACTAAGGCTCTGAGAAGGTAGGAGTTGCCTTTCCAGGGTTTCACACTTAGTAAGGAGCTCATAGAGGTATTGAAACCCACCACTGTCAAATTCCCAATCCTTCAGCCCCGCCATGTTGTTTACTGATGATTAGGGATGAAGTAGAGAAAGGCACTAAATGGCCATTAAATTCCAGTTTCAGATTATAGCATCTAATTTCTACAAATACAAAAATATAGAACTTTTAGAATATCTTTAGTCTAACTTTTTAATTTTAATGAATGTGTTTCAGAACTTTGTTAGCCATGTTGAGCCCCAAATTATAAAAACTTCAAAAAGATACGTACACTGATGAAACATCCTATCTCACAAATACACTTTATTTTTCACTATTGACATGTTAGAACATGGTCACATTCTAAGGGTTTTTTTTCTAAGGGTTTATACATGTCAGAGAATGTTAGAGAATTCATTTTATTTAATATCAGGGGACGCTAAATATGTATTTTTTATGTCCTTCTACTTTTTCCTAAGCATGTATCAATATAAATCCTTTTCTACAAATAATGAAACAATTTTGGGTTTTTTTTTTTTGCTACTTGAATCCAGGCTTCTGTCACATTTTTTCCCTCGCTGTTCTCTCAGTTTCTTGGATTATTCTCCATTGGTAGGTTTCCTTGAACCCTTATGTGCAATACTTCAGTTTTGTGACTTTTTTTTGTCTGTCATTCTGCTGCCATAGCTTCTGAGGTCTTCAGAGCCACCTGCAATGCTGTTAACAGCCCATAGTTCTCTGACAAGTAAACTAGGGAAGCCATGGCCTTAAATCGGTCTCCTGGAATATCTTCACTGACAGGCTGACATTAGCAAGCCCCAAACCAATAAGTAACAGGGGTCTAAGTGATAGGGTTCCCAGCAATTCCAATTTATAAGAACAAAATAGAAATAGATGAGTTACTCAATTCACCCCTGATGTAAAATCCCCAGCTGTTTCTCCATATGTGTTCCCAAGTAAATTATTTCAAAATAAATAATGTAATAAGCAATTTATGCATCTACATCCAGGTCTTTAGGTTTATTTTTATTGTTATGGCTGTGCCCTAGAGATTCACAGTAAACAAAATTATCCAAAGTGAATGATAAATAAACTTCCCCTAGACAGCTCCAAGACAATTGGCGTTCTTTTGTTTTCCTTCAATATAGCTTCCTTAAAATAAAGGCTATAATTAAAGAAGTTCCATGAGGTCAAAGACTGGGAATGTTTTGTTTGGAATTTGTATTACCAGCACTTTACACAATACTTGCCACACAGTAGAACCACAAATATTTTTTTAATAATTGCATCAAAAAATAATACCGTGGTGTCCCTATTTAAGGAAGTAATCTACTCTCTTCAAAGTTCTAGAACTCATAGGGCCTGATTTTCTTTTATATGCCCTTATAAAGTTTATCAAAAACTTAAAAAATATGTCTTCATAGAATGCAAGAGGAGGCAGGGATCCTAAGTATAACACCTTGCAGCCAAGAAGGCTTCTAGAGAGTGAAAGTCATATGCACAGAAATATGTAGGTAGCTAGTCATCCAAGGCACAGGGAATGAGAATCAGCTCCCCTGAATTCCAGAATTTTTTCGATTTCATCAATTCACATTACTTTTATCATTAAAACGGTGTGACGTATCTAAATGTGACTATCAAAATGTCAAAAACCTGAGTCTGGATTTTCCAATGATCAAACAACTAACTTAATTACTTGGCAATACTCATATTTATTAAATTCATTTCCTCCTGGCAGATTATTCTGAATAAAGAACCAACCTCCAGTGATTGAGATGACATTCCATGATGAGGCCAGTAGGAAAGCAGGAACTTCCACAGCAAGGATGAGTGTAGGAAAGGTTCCCAGCGCTCAAAACAGCTAGATATTCCCACCTCCAAATGCTCTGGTAACAATTATTCTTTATGAAATTATTTATTTAAAAAAGTCATTCGGCTCTAATGAAAGAGAATGGAAAAGACATCATTTGTCTCCCCAGGTGTTTTCAGAGAAGTTTAGAGTGCAAACCATGTAGGAAAACGAATCTGCTGAAACTTCTTGAAGCAAGGTTCTAGATAGGCAAATAAAAAAAACAGGAGTGGAGATTACAGAAATAAGCCACTGCTTTGAAATATAATCTTTCTGTTGTCTTTGTGTTACCAAGTCTATACGGTTTGCTACGGTTAGCAAATTTGTTTATACGTGCCTTATGAGGCTGAAAAGATTCACATTATATTTACCTGTATATTGTCAGCATGCTAGCTAATAGAGTTCTTTTCCTTATCTTACCATAGCCATTATGTAGGTACATGCTTTTTATCCGTCAAACAGCTAGCGTCATTCAAAATTGACTTATAAAGGTAAAATCCAGAAACTAGTTCCTCCCTCTTATTCTGGCAGCAAATATTTGGATTCAGATTATTTTATCCACCTCTCACATAAGCTGTTGAGAATAGTCTTCAGTGACAGTGGCATTACCAGAGGCGCATGCCATAGAGATTCGTAAATTCTGATTCGCAGGCAAAAAGAAAACTCGGATATTATAAAAACAAACCTTTCTTATAAAAATAAAAATAAAAACCTTTCCAAACTAGTCATTATCTTCAGGCAAATCACTGTATCCGAGACAAATGTGTTGTACTGAGGAATTACTACACTGCACAAATGTAGCATGAAATACTAACACAAAACTACGGACGAGCAGGATTACTGTCCTGCTTTTGTAAAGGTTTATAATCTCAACAATCTGCAACATCAAATAGTTTCTAAGATCATGCTTCTTGGAAATATTTGCAATAAAGAATAGCAAACAGTAGTCACCCCATTGTGTCTTTTGTTACTAGGTTATCAATGGAACAAGTGGCAAAAGATACGTGACAGGGAAAATGCACAAGGCAAAGAAGATGCGAAGAGGAGTTTCATCGTTAAATGAAAGAGAAGGTTGTTTTTTGATGCAAAGGCCCCGGAAATGTTTGTAGGAATGCCTGGTATTAATACTCTGTCCCTCAGGACCCCACTCTTTCTCAGATCCCTCCTACCATCCACTGCAAGAGGACTTCAGAAACTGAAACTCCAGAGTGGTCAAATAAGATCAATGATATTCCCATTCATTTTGGAAACTTTGAAAAACTAAGAAGAGTCCCAGGGGTGCTTAGGTAAAAGTTCTTCTGTCAGGAGTGGAAGCCCTGGGACCCAAGACCGGAATGAGAATAAACAGTGGATGGATGGAGGTTTGACACCGACTCTCCAGGATTCTGTCTGCGGTGGAGGGGATTCCTTCCAAACAGAGCTCATCGGCCAGAGAAAGACTGGAACAGAGGTCCGGCATCCCTGCGATCGGTAAAAATCGAGGGCAGCTGAGTAGCCTGAGCAGGAAGGAGGCAGAAGAGCTATGGGAAAACGTCTAGAACGTGGGGCAGCCTGAAGTACACCTGCAACTACTGATACACACATCCCGAGTGCGTACGAGTTTAGAGAGGGTTAGTTAGGAGGGCACCTAGTAATTCAAGACATTTAGAAAGGAGTAAAAGTACAGAAGGCGGCCACGACAAAATGAGGGAGGAAGCACTGAAGAACCAGGGAAAAGGACCTGAGAGAGGAGGCCGGGGTGCGAGAAACAGCAGACAGCGTCGAGAGGCGGACACCAGGTTTACCCAGAGAAGAAAGTTGAGCCAGTGGATGCTCAGGGAATAAGGAGGGGGAGAGGGCTGGGGAGAAACCCGAAGAGTAGAGGCTGGAGGTTTCATCGTTTGAAGGCAACTCAAAAAAGTATCTGACAGCCGGTTCCTGAAGATTCTTGAGAAAAGGGATGCAACACAGGAGGCAGAGCGCCTGTGGAATTCCGAGAGGTCAGAGAAGGTCAGGCTGAGACCCAGAGGGTGTGGGAAACCAGAGCGGAAGAGTTTCCTGGAAGGGGTGGGGGCTCCTCCGGGATCCTGGAGATGCAAGACGAGGCACCCGCCAGGGGGACGTGCAGACAGAACACGGCGCCTGGGAAAGTTTGCGGGACGGAGAACAGGTGGGCGTGAAGCGGCCAGGGCCGCCGGGAGGCGGACGGCGGGCCAGGCGCGCGGCTCGGGGGGACGCCCCGGCCCCGGAATCGGGGCACCCGGAAGCCTCAGCCGCCCCGCCGCGCCCCGCCGCGCCCCGCCGCGCCCCGCCGCGCCCCGCCGCGCTCTCGCGCCCCCCTCCGGCCGCGCGCAGGGCCGGGGCTGCCCGGGGCTCGCCCCCCAGCGGCCGGGCTCGCCGCGCACGCCCCCGCTCTCCCGGCGCCGCCGTCCCGATCCCCGCTCACCGAGGGCGCCGTCAGGCGGCTGATGCTCTCGCCCAGCGAGTCCAGGTTGACCCGCCTCCGGCGCTGCGCCCTCCTGGCCCCGGCCGTGGCGGCGGCGGCGGCGGCGGCGGCGGCGGCGGCGGCGGAGGAGGAGGCGGAGGCGGCGGAGGAGGAGGAGCAGGCGGCCGGGGCCGCGGCGGGGGCGACGGCGGCGGCCGCGCGGGGCTCGGGCGGCCCCGGCGGGCTCCGGCTGCCGTTCCAGCAGAGCCTCGCCAGCGGGCACTCCCCCTCGTCCTCGGGGCTGGTCTCCAGGTAGTCGGAGCCCAGCGAGCTGAAGGACTCGGACGAGATCTTCCTCCGAGACATGCTGCGGGCGGCGCGGCGGCGGCCGAGGCGGCGGCGGCGGCGGCGGCGGCGGCGGCGGGACGCGGGCGGCGGGTCAGGCGCGTCGGGGCCGCGGGGCGCTGCGGCGGCGCCCGGCCGGGAGGGGGTCCCCGGAGCCGCGGAGCCCGCAGAGGCGGCTGCTCATGGCGGGAACTTGCGGCCCGGGGCGCGGCGGCGGCGGCGGCGGCGGCGGGGTGAGGCGAGGGGCCGCCGCCTCCGCTGCTGCTGCTGCTCGCGCGGCGCCGCCTCTGCGCTCCTGGGGCCTCCGCTCGCGCCGGCGGGGAGGCTGCGAGTGCGCGACCGCGGGCGGCGGGCGGCGGGCGGCGGGCGGCGGGCCGGGAGGCTGAGCTTCTGCCGCCCGCGCCGATCGCGCCCCCTTCCCTCCGTCCTCCCGCCCCTCGCCGCCCGCCTCCCTCCTGCTCCCTTTATCGTCCCCCCCCCCCACGCGCTCCCTCCGCCGGTATCACGTGTCGCCATCATACTCATTGCGAGTCTCTGCCTCGCCTGTCGCCACGTTTCAGGAGCAGCGAGGACACTCGGTCGCCGCCCTCCGCGCGCCCTCCCCGATGCCCCCTCCGCCGCCCGGATCCGAGGAGGAGCGCGCGGTGGCTCGGATCGGGCCGAAGGGCCCCAGCGCCTCGCCTCGCCTCGCCCCGGCCGGCGACCGCGGGACTCGCAGGGGGGCAGGCGGGGGCGGGACGCCTCCCTCCGGAACCTCGGGGACGCAGCTCTCCCCTCCCTGCCTCCCTGCGAGTTTATTGAAGTTCTGAGGCGAAGGGGAAAGGCCAGTCGGTGCAGCCCGCCGGGTCCGGAGGACGCGCGTACCGGGGAAGGGCAGCGGCAACGTGTCTGCACGCAGCCTGCGGGGGCAGCTCGGGCGGCGGGCGCGGCTGAGGGTGGGCCTGGGTCGAGGCCGCGGAGGCTCGGGGGAGCCCAGGCCCGGGAGGCGGCGACCGAGGACGGCCTCTGCCGGGCGGGAGCCGCGTTGCTGCGCGTCGGCGGCGGGCCGGGCGCTCGTGCTGGACAGCGCCGCTCGCCACCTGCAGCCGCGCGGCCGGAGCGCGGGCGGGGCGCGCTTCCTCCGCCCCTCGGCACCCGAGCGCGGCCGGGGGAGCCCGGGCAGCCCCGCAACGCCTCTGCTGCTCCCGGCTCTGTACGCCAGGCACGCGGTCTGTGTGCCCCTGGCTGCCAGTGCTGCTCCGAGACCTTGAGGAGAATGGAGAGAAAGGCTCTTCAAAGCCCACGAACAGACTCGCCTCCAGTTTGCGGTGGAGCTGCCTCATTCCCGAGCTTGCCTCGTGGCAAACCAGCAGCCGCTCTGGGCACCCGGCCCCACTGCGCCTGCTTGTTTAGCTCCAGAAAAGCCTCAGATCTGTTCTGACGTTAGGGGAAGGGATGGGCAGAAGCGGCAAATGAGTGTCACCAAACGAGGGGTCCCAGGCTGTGCTTCCCCCCGTAGCAAAGCGCAGGAGCACCCTCCTCCCCACCTTCTCCACTCCTCTGGAAAAGTTCAGGAGCTCCAGCTTTAGCTCCTCAAGGATACAGATGCTAAAGCATCTTTTGTGTATTGTGGGGTTTGTTTGTTTTTTTTTTTTTTTTTTTTAAGGACTCGTCCTTCCAAGGTGTGGGCTGTGTGTATTTAAACACAAACAACAAAAATCCAAACGAACACCTTTGCTGTATACCCGACCCCAGTTTGCTTTTAACTTTAATTCGACCCGATGGCTTATGAGGACCCAAATAAATATAAATGCTTTTTGAGGTTTCCTTTTATATTTTGGAAACATCCACTCCGTTAATTCAGAGACCTCTCTTATCCACAGACTTTAAATAGGCATTAAAGTTATAAAAAGTGTGTACTCTCACATGTGCCCTTTCAAAAATATAAATATTCTTGGGATGCCTGGGTGGCTCAACGGTTAAGCCCTGCCTTCGGCTCAGGACGTGATCCCTGAGTCCCTGGACGGAGTCCCACATCAGGCTCCCCGTATGGAGGAGTCTGCTTCTCCCTCTGCCTATATCTCTGCCTCCCTATCTCTGTGTCTCTCGTGAATAAATAAATAAAATCTTTTAAAAAATAAAATAATATTATAATTATAGTTATTATACATAATCATATATAATAATTATTACTATATTATTTTGATTGTATAGTGTATCTCCTGATTTTCCCATTACTTCATTTAATTCTATATGTATCTGCTTCCACTGAAAATTAGACACAAATTATGCTTTTTATCATTAAGAATAGTCATTGATTTTGCTAAAAAGTTTCTCTGGCTCCTCTTTTTTTTTTTCTGAAATATAGTGAATGGTTCCTTTGAAAATTACATTACTACAACTTTGAAGAAACTGTTAATCTTGCTGTGCAGTATCCATCACAGCATAAATTGAGTTATTATTTCTCTTCTTTAGTAATGCTGATGTAAATGGCCTGTTCTTCAGACTCACAGGATTTTAGAGCTTCTGGTAAGGATACTAAATAACATGCCCTTCATATTCTGTTAATGAACCACTGTTCAGAGCACCTGTGCGTGCACACACATTCTTTTATGGTAATAGTGAATACTTGTACATTAATTTAAAACCAGAACTTTTACTAAACATTCCAACTCTTGTCTCAAAGTGAAAATGACTGAGTACAACAGCAACGAGTATCATTTGTTTATAAAACCACAAGAGGCCTAAGAAGTCTTCCTGTTTATACTGGAAGTTTATTGCCAGAAAGAACTCTGAACCATTGGGACATTTCCGCCTTGTGTGAACCATTTGA